TTTTGGTGTATTATGAGCACTGTTCTATGAAGAACACTGATTTTCGTCAGCAGACGGTGCTGTGTGTTTTGGACAAATTTCTGGTGTGCTGCGACTGAGACAGAATTTGGAGCGAGGCGGCCGCGCCTCCCGCTGTCATCGGGACGTGCAGGACGGGGGGCGGGGCTCCGGGGAGCGGGCGGTGATGTAGGTCGGGGGGGGGGGAAACACTGTATATGATATTACAACTTATAATTGATGTTTTCCCGGACTTACTACAATGTGTTTGTTGTACAGGAAGCTTTTTTAGCAATTTTTTGACAGCTGGTGACCGCATTTGGCTCAAGTCTACTTACGACCAGAGTATTAGCTCTAGGATTGAGAATGTGGGAGTATTGGGTGACTGGGACATTTGTGTTTTACCAAAGTGTTGGGGGTCCGGGGGTGGGGGATCATGCCACAATCTTTTTCTGCATTTTTTTCCGGTATGGAGTATGGAAGTGGTCCTTTCGTAAAAATTGACAACAAAAGCTGTTAACAAGTAGGAACATAAAAATCGCGACGAGTCATGTTATTTCATTAACGAAAATCGGTGCGCGGTCGTGGGCAGCCACTCGTAGCAGAATTTACCAGTTTCACAAGATTACGGGAGGTTAGAGATCAGAAAAGTCCGCGACTGTGCGGGATGGGGTCAGGTATACAGACGATGGCCAGCCATTGAGTCGACGACGGGCGCTACGGCAGTACAGGAACATGGCCTCCCCTTCCTCCCTCCCTCCTCCCTCCGCCCTCCCTCCCTCCCTCGCCTTCGCTCTACCCCTCTTCTCGTTCACAGCGTAAACCCTTCCTCTCTGTTATAAACCAGGCCAGCACGGCCCGATTACGGGGCGCTACGCAGTCAGAATCAAGGCCCTCCTCCTCCCTCCCCCTCACCCCCTCCCTCCTCCCTTGCTACCTCTCTCTCTCGCAGCACGTAAGCCCTCTCTCTCTGTGTATACAGACGATGCCCAGCACGGATCCGACTACGGCCGCTACGCATACAAGAACGAAGGCCCTCCCTCCCTCCTCGCCTCGGTCCTCCCTCCCTCTCTGACCTCGCTCTCTCGGCACACTAATCCCTCTCTCTCTCTCTGGTATACGAGACATGGGCCAGCACGGATGTCGACGATGCGCCGCTTCGGCAGTACAGAGAACTAAGGCCCTCCCTCCCTCTCCCTCCTGTCCTCCCTCCTCCCTCCTCCCTGCCCTCCTACGCCTTCCTCTCTCGCCACACTAACCCTCTCTCTCTGCTCTTGTATACAACATTGCCAGCATGAGTCCGACTACGCGGCCGCTTACCGGCAGTTACAAGAACAAGGGGCTCCCCTCCCTCGCGCGCTCCTCCCCCTCCCTCCCTCCCCTCCCTCCCTCCCCTCCCTCTACCCTTCTCTCTCGCACACTAACCCTCTTCTCTCTCGATACAGACATGGCCAGACGAGGTCCGACTACGGGCTTGCTACCGGCAGACAAGAACAAGGCCTCCCTCCCCTCCCCTCCTCCCTCCCTCCGCCTCCCTCCCTCCCGTCCCTGCCCTCTACCGCTTCTCTCTCGCACACTAACCCTCTCTCTCTCTTACAAGACACGATGGCCAGCGCACGAGGTCCGGACGACGGGCCGCGGGTACGGCAGTACGTGAAGGAACAAGGCCCTCCCTCGGCCTTCCTGGCCTCGCTCCCTCCCCTCCTCCCTGCCGCGTTGGCTGCCCGCTCTCTAGCACTACTAACCCTCTCTGCTCTCTCTCTGTATACAGACTGCCGAGCACCGAGGTCCGAGCGACGCGCCGCTTGACCGGCCAGTACAAGAGACAGAGGCCCTCCCTCCTCCCTCCCTCCCTCCCTTCCTCCTCTCACCCTCCCTCCTTCCTCCCTCCCTCTCTCCCTCTACCTCTCTCTCTCGCACACTAACCGCCTACGTCTCTCTCTGTCTATACAAGACATGCGCCAGCACGAGTCGGCACTACTGCCGCTACCGGCAGTACAAGAATCGAAGCGCGCTCCCTCCTCCTTCCCTCCCTCCCTCCTCTCACCCTCCGCTCCCTCCCTACTGTCCCTCCCTCCCCCTCCCTCCCTCCCTCCTCCCTCCTTCCCCTGCCTCCCTTTTACCCCTCATCTCGCCACACTAACCCTCTCTCTCTCTCTCTCTGTATACAGACATGGCCAGCACGAGTCCGATACGGGCCGCTACCGGCAGTAACGAAGAAAACAAGGCCCTCCCTCCCTTCGTCTCCTCCCTCCCTCCTCCTCCCTCCCTCCTCCCTCCCTCTACCCCTCTCTCTCGCACACTAACCCTCTCTCTCTCTCTCTGTATACAGACCATGGCCAGCACGAGTCGACTACAGCCGCATACCCGGCAGTAACAGAACAGCCCTCCCTCCCTCCTCCCCCTTCCTCCCTCCCTCCTCCCTCCCTCCTCTACCCCTATCTCGCGTACCACTAACCCTCTCTCTTTCTGTATGTACAAGACATGGCCAGCACCGTGAGTCCGACTACGGTCAGCTACGGCAGTACGAAAACAAAGCGCTCGACGCGTCGTGAGCGTCTCCGTCGGCGACGGAGGAGAAGCGGTTTCAGCAGATGCGGTAGAGCAAAAAGCGAGGAGCAGCTGTTCAAGCGGCGCATGACGCGATGGCGCCGGGAACGACGACGGCCGCGACGACGAGGGAGAGTACCGTCCGTCATGCATGACGACGAATTCTCGCAGCAGGCACCCGCATCGCCAAGGTACAGGTGAGTAGAGAGAGGGAGGGGAGGAGGAGGAGCGCAGGGAGCGAGCGAGGAGGAGACGGAGGAGGAGGGGGAGGGGAGGAGGAGAGGAGGAGGAGGAGGGAAGAGGAGGCAGGAAAGGGAGAGGAGAGGAGGAGAGGGAGGAGGAAGGAGGATGTGATGTGAGTGAGTGATGGAGGAGGAGGAGAGGAGGAGGAGGAGGAGGGGAGCGAGGAGAGGAGGGAGGAGAGGAGGCGTATGGAGGCAGGAGGATGGAGGAGGCAGAGAGGGAGGAAGAGCGCAGGGACCGGCCCCGCCCTGAGCGTCGGTCCATGCATGGACGATGAATTTCTCGCAGCAGGCGCCCGGCATTTCGCAAGTACAGACGTTTAGAGATGGAGGGGAGGTGAGGAGAGGGTAGGAGGGAGGAGGCAGGCACGGAGGAGGAGGAGGAGGAGGAGGGAGGGGAGGAGGGAGAGAGGAGGAGAGGCGTGACAGTCGTACGGCATGCATGGACGATGAATTCTGGCGCCAGCAGGCGCCCGCATCGCACGCGTATGCAGCGTGAGTTGAGAGGAGGGAGCGAGGAGAGGAGGAGGAGGAGAGGGAGGAGGGAGAGGAGGAGGAGGGAGAGGCAGGAGGAGGAAGGAGGGGAGGAGGAGGAGGAGGAGTAGGCAGGAGAGGAGGACGGATTGCCGTGGGGAGGACGCGATGGAGGGAGCGGAGGGGAGAAAGAATCTTNTCTCCCCTCCTCCCCTCCTCTACCTCTCTCTCTCGCACCTAACCTCTCTCTCTGTTGTATACAGACATGGCCAGCACGAGTCGACTACGGGCGCATACCGGCGTCAAGAACAAGGCCCTTCCCTCCCTCTCCCCTCCTCCTCCCTCCCTCCCTCTACCGTCTCCTCTCTCCACAAAAAACGTAACCCTCTCTCTCCTCTCTAACTGTGTACAGACTATGCCCGAGCACGAGTCGCGATGCCGCTTACGGCAAGTACGAAAAACAATGGCCCTCTCCCACCTCTCCCATCCTTCCTCCCTCCTCCCTCCCTCCCGTTTGTTGTGTGTTGTGTGACCCTTATCGTCTTCGCACACTAACCCTCTCTCATCTCTTCTGTATACAGACCATGGCCAAGCATGAGTCGTACGTACGGGCCCGCTAGCGCCAAGTACAAGCACAAGGCCTCCCTCCTCCTCTCCTGCCTTCCCCCTCCCTCCCTCCCTCCCTCCCTCCCTCTACCTTCTCTCTCGCACCACTAACCCTCTCTCTCTCTGATACAGACATGGCCGCACGACGTCCGGACTACGGCCTACCGGCAGTACAAGAACAAGGCCCTGCCCCTCCTCCCCCTCCTCCCTCCCTCCCTCCCCCTCCTCCCTCTAGCCCTTCTTTTCTCCGCACACAAACCCTTCTCTTCTCTGATAGTACAGACATGGCCAGACGAGTCCGACGCAACGGAGCCCTCGGCCAGTAAAGAACAAGGCCTCCTCCTTACTCCTCCCTCCCCTCCCTCCCTCCCTCCTCTACCCCTCTCTTAAGCACACTTAAACCCTCTCTCTCTCTCTCTGTAGTACAACATCAGCACGACGATCCGACGACGCGGCGCTTACGCGGTACAGAACAAGGGCCCTCCTTCCCTCCCTCCTTCCCTCCCTTCCTCTCTCACCCTCCCTCTTCCTCCCTCCTCTCTCCTCTACCTCTCTCTCTCGACACACTAACCTCCTCTCTCTCTGTATACAGACATGGCAGCACGAGTCGACTACGGGCGCGCTAGCCGGCAGTACAAAGAATCAAGGCGCTCCTCCCTCCTGCCCTCCCTCCCTCCCGCTCACCCTCCCTCTCCTCCCTACTCCTCCCTCCCTCCCTCCCTCCCTCCCTCTCCCTCCTTCCCCTCCCTCCCTTTACCCTCTATCTCGCACACTAACCCTCTTCTCTCTCTCTTCTGATACAGACATTGCCAGCACGAGTCCGACTACGGCCGCTACCGGCAGGGTACGGAAGGAAACCAAGGGCCACCTCCTCCCTCCTCCCTCCTCCCTCCTCCCTCCTGCCTCCTCCTCCCCCCATCTACCCTCCTCTCCGACCACTAACCCTCTCCTCTCTCTCTCTTATACAACATGGCCAGGCACGGAGTCGACCTCAGGCGCTACCGGCAGTACAGAACAAAGGCCTCCCTCCCTCCCTCCTCCCTCCTCCCTCCCTCCCTCCCTCCCTCCCTCCCTCCCTCCCTACCCTTCTCTCTCGCACACTAACCTCTCTCTCTCTCTCTGTATACAGACATGGCCAGCACGAGTCCGACGACGGGCCGCTACCGGCAGTACAAGAACAAGGCGCTCGACGCATCGGAGCTTCGTCGGCGACGCGAGGAGGAAGGGCTTCAGCTGCGGAAGCAGAAACGCGAGGAGCAGCTGTTCAAGCGGCGCATGCACGCGATGGCGCCGGGAGACGACGATGCCGCCGACGACGAGGGAGAGGTGACGTCGTCCATGCATGACGATGAATTCTCGCAGCAGGCACCCGCATCGCAGGTACAGGTGAGTTAGAGAGGAGGGAGGGAGGAGGAGGAGGAGGAGGAGGAGGAGGAGG